AATACGCCTGTCGAAGATGGCAAGCATAAAATTAACGTAGACAAGGCAAAAACTGGTTTATCGAGGTCTTTTTAACAGGAAAAAGCTGGTGCTGAGGCGAGAACTTCGAATTAAAACATCGAAAAGTAACAGACATCTGGCGCTTGACAAATGACGGAACTTTTAGTAGTGCACTGTAGCAAAAAAAAAATTCAAAAATATAAAAAACATTTTGTAATAAATAAAATTAAGAAAAAATAATATGAAAATTGGAAGATTCCGAATTTTTCAAGACAATTTTTCCCTCAACACTCAACTGTCGCTTCAGCAACAAGATCAACTCAGCTACATTTTGGTGTAGCAGTACTCCGTGACAACACCAAAGGCCCACAACTAAGATTCCCGAAATTCCGTTTTATCAGATTATTTCGAGAAAATCGGTCATCAGCCTGTCTCTGAATATCAATAATCCAAGACCGATCGAACTATGAGTGTAGGATTTCCTTGTTAGTGATGTTACTAGGATGCTCCCACATGCCAAGCGCAGTTATGCCAGGCCCTCCCACCCCGGGCTACATACCTCTAGTTCTGAATAATCTTAAAAAGATACAGTTATTGACAGCCTTGAATCCGAATGGTCGCTTTTGGCATGTGCTAACAATCGAACTTTTTCTGACTGCTCCCGCTTCTCGCTACGGAGGAATTTGAAAAAAACTTTGACTTTTGCTCTTAATTTCAAGAAAATAAATATGCCTGTTGACAAAAATGCCTTTAAACAGTAGATATTTTGTCAAAAAAAGAGAGAATTCTCGATCACTTTTAACAAAAACCACGCCAAACTCGAAGTAATTAACCCAAACTTCTATAAACTACTCAATCTGTAAGTTTTAACAAGGTTCTGTGGTACCTCTTTTTTGGAAGTGAACAGACGTGGTCCGCGAATAAACAGCGGAATTGAGCAGGCGACACCGATGCTATCCACAACCAATTCGAATAACAAACTCTTCACTCGTATTTCTTCAACATTTTCATTGGGAACGATTGCAAATTCGAGCGGAATCCAATCAGAAGTCGCTTCCAGGGAAAACTGCAATATACAAGCTAATGTTAATCAGTTTGTGTAAAAAAAAATTAACGTCTTATATAAAAAACAGAAATCGAAATACTGAAGAAAATATGAAATTGCCTGCCAACTAGTGATTTCTTATCCGCACTAAAATATCCAGTACTAGGACTGACACGCGTACTCGACTAACTTTCGCTCATATTCAGCCAATATCATTCCTTGAAAAGTCAATGAGTTACAAAAAATTACAACAAACCTCATCCACGAAACTTTGCATGTACGATGTAGGATCAGCTGATACCTCCAAATGAATTTTCCTCAAAAGCAATGGAATGTCCATGGAATTTTTTAAGGAAAGGGTTATTCGTATACGTTCCAGTGGTGGCGTAACAGGCACCTAAAAGTAATCAGATTGATGCAACTAAGCCAGAAATGGATGCTAAACTGATAAAAACTGAAAAATAACAATGATTATGATTGCGCAATAATTTATCAATGAGACATATGGAACAAAATACTCAAGCAGCCCAGTGTACTGGTATTACTGAGCGGAGTGCCAAAAAAAAATTCCCCATTACTTAGGTTTAAGCAGCAATCTTTTGGACCAGAACATCGAATACATCGTAACCTGGAAGGATGGAAAAACGAATTTGCTCAGCACAGAGAAAGACAAATGAATGTTAGTGGATATAGGCCCATTCTTGGAAGGAAGTGCTGTAGCTGCGCCCGTTATGTGGGAACATCAATAAAAAGGGATCCACAAAGGTTATTAGTGTGATCTTAACATCTAGAAGAATGAATACGTGAAAAAAATATTTAAAGTAACACTGAATGTTAGTAAAAATGAGAAGCAGAACCTCAGAATTATTTGTGGAAGCATTGCTCACGGCTCGTGTTTCCATGAAACCAGTCATCGTGCGCATTAAAGCACCATACGCTGCTTTTTCTAAGCCCAGCCAAACATCATCATTTCCCTGAATCAACAGCAATCAGTCGACAAGGATTGTTTGTAATCAAGAAAGGAAATCACCTCATGCGGAACATTTTACCCCGGAAATGACAGAAGATTTTGTTGCTACCTTATCCTGATGAGATTTTCACTGAATTTGCTCAGAACCCTCTGAATCTGGTCAAATTTTTGAGCTCTGCCGAAGCTCTTCCCGAAAAAAAACCATTTAGGATCCAACAATGCAAAGTCAGGGACAAGTCGGTAAAGGCAGTACGAAAAGCCTCTGCTACTTGTGACAGCAGCTCAACACTGCAGGATGTATTTCGGTACCATAAAAAAGAATACGCAAGCTTCGTGAAATGTAGAACACACGCCGATGGTGTGATGTCACAATTCCAATAATTTTTT